TTTATCAATAAAATCAATCCATCAATTCTTAAGACTTAACACTCTCATTTGCATTGCAAGGTATATAAACCTTAATACAAATTCACTCTGAAAAAGAGTTTTGCATTAGTATTAAAAGTCCACACTTGACCCATTGATTGTTTCTTTGCCAATGGTAATCTTAACTTCTAAACAACTGTTTCTTTTACTTCACCACTATCATCAGTATCTAGAACAACAATTGATTCAGGTATGGATTCCTCTTCCAAGCCCGAATTCTCAAACTCACCGCGTCAATCTTGCATCTTGATTGTAATTCTTTTTTCAATACTCCTTAATTACTACATGACATTTTGACAATATTGTGGTTAGACAAACTTGTATATGTTTATAACGAAACTACATCTGCTTTTGAAATTTGGTATATATATTACCAATTAAATTGGTGGATTTTTTAAAAAAGTTTATTGAATTTGGATGAACTTCGAACGATTTTTTAAATAACTAAATACATAAACCTAAATATGAACTATGGAATACTGAATACTGATAAAGTATTTATCTATCACATTTTATCAAAAAGAAAAAGAGAAATTATTTATCTATAGAACAAACAAAAGTATCATATATCAAACTAAAAAATTAACATGTCACTAAAACTTTTATACACAAAAACAATGATACATAGGAGGAGGAAACTGTATTATCATCATACCGATAATACTATCTTAAAACACGCAATAGTTAAGGTTAATTTCAACAACTCAAGCCGGATTAAAACTTTGAAGAAGTGATATAAAACTAAAATCAGATTATGAGAATCTATAATCAAAGAATCAAAAGACTAGCAGTGCAGTAGTTTTTACAATAATTTTTTTTCTTATTTTTATATTAATTTAAACATAACATTATTCCACCGAATATTCCACAATATTAGCCAAGTATATGTTACCATTTACGTACAGTGTTTGTCAGTTTTTCGAGTTTCGTTGAACCTACAATCTCTTGCAAAGATATTTGAAATTCCACATCAAAATGGTATATTTGATTACTACTAAATTTAAAAAGTAGCACCATATACTTTGTTCAAAAAATTATGGTTTGCTTTTCTGGTCAAAATACAAATGACAAATACAGAAATATTGTTTGAAATTTTGACTAATAAGATTTGACTAATAATTCTGCAATCTTGACCAGAAACATGCAACATATAGAACTTGATTTGCCACATTATAAATGTATGGCTAAAGACCACGAATACATAGCAAACTTTCACGAGACTAAACTTTGAAAAATCCAAAGCTCCCACTCTGAAAATGAAGAACGCTTCTCTCAAGCTCCCACTCTTGATTTTCATTTTGGTCATCACATCTAGTAAGTTTGTTTTTTTTTTTTTTTTCGTTTGTCAACAATTGTACGAATAAAACCAAAAAAAAAAGGTATAGGAAGTTGTTTTTGTTACAAGTGACAGAAACAAATTATGTTTTTATAAACTTTTCCATTATATTATTAAAAGAACTAATACATAAAAACATAAGAAAATCATACTAACTGAATATCTATAATTATCGTGAAAACATATTCAATCCGGAATTTTTTAAGTAATAATTATATTTTCTTGCAATTTGATAAGTTTTAAGAGCGTAGTGATTATGCATTTCTAGGTTTTGATTCATTTTTTGTGGAAAATAACACTTACCAACGAACAAAATTTTGGTTGGATATGATCGTGATAGTTTATTTATAAATTTTTAGATCAATCCCTTGTTTTTCTTTTGAACTTTTTTTTAGTGGATGAAAATTCTAACCTTTAAAGCCCATTTTGTTTATGCAAATGATGGATGAGAAGATCTTGGAGCAGAAGCAAGAAAGCTGACCGGAGTTGATGATACATTAATTGAAGGTGCAGCCGCAAGTCCATATTACGTTGCCACCGATGACACATTGAACAAAGCTCCATCTTGCAAGAGGGACATCGACTGTAGTTTTCAGTGTCCCAAGGGAGGATTCTGCAACCAACGTCTAGGCAGATGTGAATGTTTGTAATAATAATCGCATTATAATCAACTTTTATATCAATAAAACATTTACCAATTGTGTTCACAGATAAAATCTTTTTTAAAAAATACAAAATCATTTTTACCAATTGTGTTCACAGATAAAATCTTTTAGAAATAGAAAATCATTTTAAAAAAAAAATTGATTTAGTCTTTGGATACTCACCACACAATATAAGCCGTTAACTATTCTATAGTAATTAACCCTAATCAGATTTGATTTAACCACAGTCGTTAACCTAGAAGCTTTTAGGTCTCCTACAAGTGTACTTTATAGACGGTCGACTTCTTCCATCTTCATTCATTGAAACTAGTTCTTGCTCTTTATACGAATCCTTCCTTGCGAAAATGGCTAATCCTAAGGTTTTCTTTGATATGACCGTCGACGACAAACTGGCTGGTCGGATTGTGATGGAGCTCTTCGCCGACACGACACCACGGACGGCCGAGAACTTCCGAGCCCTCTGTACCGGCGAGAAAGGCATCGGGAAGAGTGGTAAGCCACTGTACTACAAGGGATCACGCATCCACTTTGTGTCCCGCAAATTGATGTTATGTGGAGGAGACATCATTGTCGGGGACGGATCCGGAGGCGAATCGATCTATGGCGAATTATTCGAGGATGAGAACTATATAAAGAAGCACACCGGTCCGGGTGTCCTCTCTATGGCCAATGGTGGTCCAGACACCAACGATTCTAGGTTCATGATCTGTATGAAGAAGTGTTTTCCACTCGACGACGTGCACGTCGTGTTCGGCCAAGTTGTTGAAGGAATAGATGTGGTAGAGAGCATTATGGAAGAGGTCGTAACTTATAACGGGGAGCCTTCCAAGACCGTGGTGATCGCCGACTGTGGTCAAATTTCATAGATTTGAGAGATTTTTATTATCATATCACTACAATTGTAGCATGCTTGGTGTTTTTTTGTTCTTTGTTTAGATTTGAGTTTGCTAAATAAAAAAATAAAACACACCTCCAAATCTTGACCAGTACCGGCAACGGCAACACATTATAAATGTATGGCTAAAGAGACTACGAATACATAGCAAACTTTCACGACACTAAATTTTTTTATAAATCAAAAATCCAAAGCAAAGTTGAAAATGAAGAAAGCTTCTCTCAAGCTCCCACTCTTGATTTTCATTTTCGTCATCACATCTATTAAGTTTCTTTTCTTTAATTTATTAGATCATTTACTCATATAGTTTAGTTAGCTTAAGTCTCCTTTAGCTTAATGCTAACTGTATATATATATTTGTAACAATCACATTTACATAACAATCCATACTTTCTACATAGTTCCGATCTTGCCAGACTTGTTCTTGTCTCCGATCGTTTATCAACAGGAGCTGATTTTCACTCATGGCGAAGATCTGTTCGAATGGCGCTTAATGTTCGTAACAAGCTTGGATTTATCGATGGTACGATTACTAAACCCTCTGGGGAACATAGAGATTTTGGCTCATGGTCTCGGTGTAATGACATGGTAGCTACTTGGCTCATGAATTCGGTTTCCAAGAAGATTGGACAGAGTCTCTTGTCTCTTTGCCAGTGATAATCTTGACCTCAAAGAAACTGTTTCTTCTTCTTCTTCTTCTCGACAGTCATCATTGTCTAGACTCTAGAACAATAATGGATTCATGCATTGATGCTTCTTCCAAGCGCCAACTTGTCGCATCTTTTAGTTATTCATTTACGGTACCATATCAGTTTGCAGAAGTACCTTATTTTTGCGTACTACTTCATTACAGATGTTGGCAAAAAAAAACTTTCACTTACTCATTGGCCAAATATATCTCCAACTTTGCTTTGACTTGGCCGAATTAGTTCCAACATTAACTAAACTTGAAAGGTTTAGTTCGGCCAAAATAAAAAATTATTTGGGTTAAACGAATAAGCTAGTTTGAGATTTTTAAAATAACTAAATATTATTTTTAGGTGTGGGAAAAAAAAACCTTTCCTCGAAAAACTATACCGCAACCAAACCGAATTACATACGGTTTATATGTAGTTTAATATGATTAATAATATTTAATATATATGATGATATAATTAGATATGATATATCTTTTTTTGAATATGATGATTAAATATATTATCTTTTAAGTTTTTTTGTAAATTAATATACTAAAATTAAAGATTTTCTGCTGGTTTTTATTAATTAATTATGTCTACATTATGATTTCAATTTTAGACTTAATGAATTTATAAAAAAAAAATCCATAAAAATCCAATGGCATATCATAGAAATTTTAATATTTTCATTGAAATTTATTTTAAACTGATCCCAATTCTAATGGTAATAGATTTTCTACCCCTAACATTTGGTAGTAGATTAATTCTGCAAATCTTTGGCATGGATTTTCCAGCTTATATATATGGATGAATATATGGCTAAATACTACGACGAAATAGCAACCTTTCACAAGACAAAATAAAATTATTTCAAAATTCGAAATATTTTTTTGAAAATGATGAACGTTTCTCTCAAACTGTCACTCTTGATTTTCATTTTGGTCATCACATCTAGTAAGTGTTAATTTATATTTATACATATGTTATCCAATTTTACAACAAAAAAAAACAAAAGCATATTCAATTATTTTACAACACTTGCCTTGTTTTAGCTTTTGAATTATTCTATCGTTTTAGAGGCACAAATATTACTAGAGAAACAAATTCAAACCCTTATGAGTTATGAATGAATAGATATTGGATCAGAAGCAAGAGAGCTAACCGGAGTTGATAAGAAACTCGAAGTTGCCACCGGAAGTTCAAACTACGCCGGCACTGCCAGGACCTTGGTGGCCCGACCTTGCAAAAGGGATGTTGATTGTAACCGTCAATGTCCCAGAATCCAAGGAGGAGAATGCAATCATCGCCATGGCACATGTGATTGTTTCTAATTGTATTAATCGCATTCTAATCTATTTTCATCAATAAAAATTTATCCATCAATTTTTTCAGATTTTATAATTTCATTTGCATTTCAAGGTTAATAATCATAAGTTCTAATTATAAATAGCAACCTGATCCACATTGATATAAAAAGAAAAAAAAAACAACAAAACAGTTTTCATCACTTTTCAAGGTCTACACTTGAGGACTCTTCTCTTTGTTAGTGATAATCTTGACCTCAAAGAGACTGTTTCTTCTTCTTCTTGTCCACTATCATCACTGTCTAGAACAACAATGGATTCAGGTATTGATGCTTCTTCCAAGTCCGAGTTCTCAAACTCACCGCGCCAACTTCTGTCATCTTCATTTTGATTCATTTCCAGTCTCATATCAGTTTGCGCAAGTACCTCGGTTTTGCTAACTTCATTCAACTCTTCAAGTGGTTGTCTCAAGGACAGTTTTCGGGTTAGTCTATTGTTGTCACTCTTTGCAGCAGAAGTTGGAAAACTCGCCAAGGTATGGTTACATGGCTGCTTCAGCCCCAGAGAAAGCTTCTTTCCATTTGAATTTGGTTTCTTGTTTTCTTTGCAAGCAGCTGAAACACCATGTGTGAGCTCTTCTTCACCACACAAATCTTTCTTTTGAGATTGAGGAGGCAAGGCAAGAGATAACTTCTTCCTGCTCGTTTTTATCCCATCGTTACCAAATGAATTCGCCTCGCAAAAACCAATCACTGATTTTCTTTTCCCCTTTCCATCCTCTTGTTGATCTTTCGCTGAAGTGTCACGGTTCTCTTTATGTTCTATGCTTAAGGAAGATTCAACTGTCAACTTCAGCTTAATCCCATCATCATTACCAGATAAAACACTATTTCCACTTCCACAAGCCTTCTCATTTCCATGAATCTAAAGAAACAAAATCAACATTTACTTATAAAAGCTCACTAAAGACTCAAAATGCTGCGTAAAAACTATATAAGAATAACTAATTATGCACCTTAATTTGGAAGCTGGTGCTGCTTCCATCAGGCTTAACTTTAGCATACTTCTCAGTCATCTCTCGTGCCTTATAATCGAAAGTTTGTCTATTGTATTTATACTCCCTGCTCTGTAAAAAAACACCAGAACAAAACTTAAAGAAACAAAAGCAAAATCTCAGAGAAAATAAGTGTGCTGCAAGTAGACTTACTACTTCACACATCAATCCATCATCCGAATTCGGTTCACTAAGCAACAATCCGATACTCGTCAAAACTGTCGAGATATTCAACGATGGTTGCCAAGCACCCTATCAGAAACTAAACATTGTTAACAAGATTCATGTATTCCATCACTAGTGTTGAATAGCTAACACATACAAACTCTAGAGATTTTGAGTTTCCACAAGAATCTACAAATCAACAAAGGCAATGGAGGAAGATGATGAAACACAGTCTAACCTTGGGAGGGAGATTAAGAATGTCAAGGCAAATCCGGCCACTGTTATCGATGTTTGGGTGATAAATCGGTGTAGCAAACGCCACAATTGGAGGCTGAAATGGATATCTGATAGAAATCCATTAACGATTGAGTCAATTTTTCACAGCAGATTAACACCAAAATCGAGTTTGATAGATTTACCTCTCAGGGATTTGAATCTTCAAATTGAAGATTCCATTAGCATATACAGTATCTTCAGGACCTTCGATTTCTGGAAAACAAGTTAATGGATTTGAATTTGATGAGGAAATTGAAAATTTAAAAGAGGATTTGAAGAGAAACTGACGAGCATCGATGGTGGAGAAAGTGGAGAAATCGCCGGAGCCAGAGGCGGCGGAAGAGAGATGAGGAAACAAAGCGCCGTGAGGTGGATCGGAGAGGAGAAGCTTAAGCTCTTTGTGCATTCTCATGCTTAGTCTCGCTGCTTGAGCCATTGATTCAGAAATTTCTCCGTTTCCACAGTTTCTGATAACTTTTTGGGGGCAAAAGGGATTTTGCAGTGATTGGCACTGGCGGGGAAAGATTTTGGATCTAAAAGCTTTTAATTTTCCTTCTTATGGGCCCAAAACTAATTGGCCCAAGCCAGTGGATACAAATGGTATAAAGGAATCTCCATAGAGGATTATACCATACTGTGCTTTATATATTCTCATTGAAGCACAAAAGTAAAACCATCAGAGTGTTCTTTCTTTTTTTTCCGTCAAATCAACTTATATTAATTTCAAAAGATCATTATACAAATTGTTCACAATCCAGGGAGGAGGATCCATGTTTTCAGAATAGAGACTAGCATGAATACTCCCAAATTTAGCGAAATTATGCTAGTTTCTATTCTGGAAAAAAGGAAACTAGATGCCCAAAATTGGAAAAATGATATTTTCATACCCGTACAATTCGCAAAGTATGTTTTCCAACCTGAACAAATACGTAAGGTTAATTCATACCCGAACTCCAAAAGAAATTGAATTTCATACCCGAACTTTATATTTAGTGTTTAATTCGGAATCGTAATTAACGGGTGTTACGGTTGCTGAGTGAAATGACATGTGTTTGATGTTATGGCATAAAAAGATGTCGGTTTAAGCGTTGGAGTTAAAATTTTGCAAAAATCAGGTTTCGAACCCACGACGTTTCACTCATTTACGCAGCCTATTACCATTTGATCGACAACTAATGTGAAACGCCGGGGGTTCGAGACTTGATTATTGCTAAATTTTGATTTAATTTTCTAAAGTTTAGGTTTTGTAAATCTTTTTTTGGGTTTCTAAATTCTGATCCGGAAAGTATTTATGGTTGTAGTGTAGTTGGTTTGTTTGGATTTTTTTCCCCTTTGTTTACCTTGTTTGGTCTTTATCTCTGGGAGTGTTCTTGTACTCGCCAGCTTATGTCTTCGGAAGTGTCTTGTACTTGTCGGCTCTTGTATTTCATCTTGAATCCTATCAATGAAATCCTATTGAAAAAGAAAATAATAATAATTGTATCTAATTCTCAACAATCAAGAAATAACCAACTTAGAGAATAAATTTATAAATCAATAAATCTTGCTTCTCTATAGGGTGCGCTTTTGTCCCTGTGACGTACGAAATGACGAATAATCGTCTACTAAACTATTTAATCCGTACGACATCATTTTTCTATAATATTTGTGTGAAACTACACTTAAAAAGTCTAAAATCATGTTCGTATACCTGAACTAAGCAACGTAATGAATAAATTATCCAAAAAATACAAAAACACTCGAGTAGTGGAGTACGAATCGCCAGCAGAAAAGATTCTACGCAACGTGTCGTGTCACTACTTGTTCCTTCGCACTAACCAGTTCGGACCATGTCAGTCCAACGCACCCACACACTCGTCGTCTCTTGTAATTATCTCACACAATGGCTTGGGACCAATAACTTGCCACGTAAGAAAAGCAATTGACCTAAGGCTTTGTGGTACCTGCATGGTTAATAGCAAAACATGAACTTGCCACGTTATTACAAAAGCAAACCACGTCACCTGTCTCATTGTTACACACTATCTCTTGCTCTCCATTATTTCGTTATGGACAACAAAAATTATGAAGTGGGGAAGAGTTGTCTCCAAATACTTTTTTATTGTCCTCTCAATTTATATAATTGATAATAATCGAAATAAATAAATAAACTGTAGGTTGACAAAGCGTTAATTTAATAAAAATAAATATTAGTTGACAGTCTAGAATTTTTCAAAACTAATTATTATAAACTTGTCGTAACAGAGAGGTAATTAAACCTATCAATCTTGATTAATAATTTCAAGTATCCCACTAAAATCAAAATTGTCCTTAGGTCTTGAAATTGTACTAGTAGTAATGAAACAAACAAAAACTATAGCTTGTGGATTCGCTAATCCCATTAGGCGATCAGAGTAATATTTATTGTTGAAATCAAATTTGTAATTAAGATTCGATTAAAAGGGAAAGTTAATACTAATTAAAAAGAAAGGATACAACAATTAAAAAATGAAAAGTGGAGAACTGTCTCTCGCCTATACGAGGAGGTCATTATCTCCAAGGCTCTCGAGGATTAAGGACCATGCTTTGATTCTATAAATTGTTGTTTTATTCAAACTATATATATTAAAATAAGTGTATAACATACGTAATATGTGGTTAGCGATTGACCCACGTCCCCTTAATTAAATCCAGATTAATTGATTTAATATTTAATTACGAAAGTTGTATATAAGATTGCTATTGGATTTCAATCTCGGTGGTGGCTTAAATAATAAAACAGTAGTGCCTTTGATGCGTGTGATTTTTTATTGGAACTAAGGGTTTTGATGCTTAACCAAGCATTTATATTGTAGTAGTTTATGTTTATGATATTTAATAGGAAATGCTCCTATGATTAGATAACTCTTGCTACTTTTGATTTCAACTAAGGGTTTTGATTCTTAACCAAGCAATTATATTGAAGTAGTTTATGTTTATGATATTTGATAATACTCATATAATATAATTATAATTAGATAGCTCTTGCAAGTAGCAACACTTGTGTGGCTATTTATTCCAGTCCTTGGATATGTATAAGAAAATAGTGGTGAACTTTTTCAGATTGAAAAGTTGTCTTGAACATCATATTTTTATTTTAACTGTCTATAATATCATGTTTACTTGGCATTTAGTGTTATTGTTTGCACTAAATAGTATCTTGAGGAAAAATACAATTGCATGTCATTAGATTGTCTTAATGATATGCGACAAAGAAAAATGGATTGTCTTAATGACAAAGAAAAATTATTACCTCTCTATCTTATTTTATAAGATATTTGTAGAAAATTTGTTTGTTTCACCAAAATGTTTTTTTACAAGTTGTTCTCACTCTTGAGAGTTTTGGAGTATTTTTAAGAGGACGAGGGTCTTTTGTAAAAAAGTGAAAGAAACTAATCATGTCACGAATTAGAAATAATTTTGTTTTGTGCAAGATACAACAATTACTGCAAGGAATTACAAAATCCTTCTAATTCGGTATCGGAAAACTACTTGAAAATCGATGGACTAAGCTTTCTATATTGGGACTAGCTTACCCTTAGAATTAGTCAAGTAGCTTAAAAATCATCTATGACTAAAAATTATAATAAAAAACACAGCCTAATAATATGCAATGGATCAAATAACTTGTCACATAAGAAATAATTAACAAAACAAAAAGGGCAAAAAAGACCTGAAAGCTTTTGAGACACACCTGCATAGGTCCCACAGTTCACTCGTGACACCGTGAAAGCAAAAACACGAACCCGCCACGTTATCACAAAAAGCAAGCCACGTCAATATAGTCTCACTGTCAACTACACTTAACTTACTAATTTCACATTTTATTTTCCTATTTTATTTTGTTTATATAAACCCACCAGCCTCCTCCTTAATTTCTTTACCAATAATATAAACCGTAACCAAAAAAGAGAGAGAGAAATGGAGGACGACAATGGTAACAACAACAACAACAACGTGATCGCACCTTTCATTGTGAAAACATATCAAATGGTTAATGATCCTTTAACCGATTGGCTCATCACTTGGGGACCTGCTCACAACAGTTTCATAGTCGTTGATCCACTCGACTTCTCGCAACGAATCTTACCTGCTTATTTCAAACACAACAATTTCAGCAGCTTCGTTCGTCAACTCAACACTTATGTAAGTTAGTTCTGGACCTAAACTCGTACATCTTTCGAAACTCGAAATAGAGGATTACGCGATTTTCTAATTTTTCTTTATTTTTTATTTGATTTTAGGGGTTTAGGAAAGTGGATCCGGACCGGTGGGAGTTTGCTAACGAACATTTTCTGCGAGGGCAAAAGCACTTGTTGAAGAACATAGCGCGTAGGAAACACGCGCGGGGGATGTACGGTCAAGATTTGGAGGATGGTGAGATTGTGAGAGAGATTGAACGGTTAAAAGATGAGCAAAGAGAGCTAGAGGCTGAGATTCAGAGGATGAACCAAAGAATCGAAGCGACGGAGAAGAGACCGGAGCAGATGATGGCGTTTCTTTACAAAGTCGTTGAAGATCCTGATCTTCTTCCAAGAATGATGCTTGAGAAAGAACGGACAAAACAACAAGTTTCCGACAAGAAGAAGCGTCGTGTCACGATGTCTACAGTGAAAGCAGAGGAAGAAGAAGTTGAAGAAGACGAAGGGAGAGTCTTTAGGGTTATTTCATCATCAACGCCGTCACCGTCGTCAACGGAGAATCTTCACCGGAATCATTCACCGGATGGTTGGGTTGTTCCGATGACGCAAGGACAGTTTGGTAATTATGAGACTGGTTTGGTGGCGAACTCGATGCTCTCGAATTCAACGTCTTCGACTTCATCATCGTTGACCTCAACGTTTTCGTTGCCGGAGAGTGTTAACGGAGGAGGAGGAGGATGTGGGAATATTCCGGGAGAAAGAAGGTATAAAGAAACGGCGACGTTTGGAGGAGTGGTAGAGTCAAATCCACCAACAACACCGCCTTATCCGTTTTCTCTGTTTCGAGGTGGCTTTTAGCGTTTAGCTTCACATGATATATGATCTTTATTATGGTTCTATTATTATTATTATTTATTTTTTGTTTTTTGTTCTTAATTATTTTATGTATAACCAAAAGAAAGAAAAAAAATAAAGGACAGATCGATAGTTGTTTAGGTAAGTGACAGAAGAGTCAGTAGTCATCGTTTATAGAAAGTTTTGACAGTATATAATTTCTGATTATATTTGTTAAAAAGTTCATATGTTTGACTTTGTTATTTGTTTTTAAAAGTATTTTCCAGGTGATTTGTGTAATATATCCACACTTTGTAATAACAACAATTTTGATCTTCTTCACTACTTGAGTGTCTTAAGTTTTGAATAAAGTATTATGGACATCTATGTTGTTATTAAGCAATGAATGAGGAGATGTCAGGTAAAAAATTAAACCATGCTTCACTAGAAGCGGATACGACCTCGCCGATCACCTTATAATATCGCTGCCCGAAAAGCCGATCACCTTATAATATCGCTGTCCGAAAGGTAATCTTCTTCCACTCGAGCCAGTGAAGATGCCTTTTGGAAGTTTTAAAGTTGATCATTGAATTAACCGTAAATGTACAATAACTTGTAGATAAGACAAAACCGATTATGGATCGATTTACCTAATATACAAGATACTATGCCATGTCAAAAAATTTCATCAAAACCTATTTATTTCACACAATGGAAGAGATAATTTGAAATGGTATATAGACTATATTAGCTTATTATAAAGCTGATCATAATGTAGAAACATTGCCTATGTACTTGCCGTGGTTAAGGCGACACAAGTCGAGTGATAACAAGTCAACGAGATCACCCACTCAGATTCAAACGTATCATCAACACGACGCTCCACTTTCACTTTCATCTAAAAATGATATATCATGACATTGTTAAATTTTGAGACGTGACAGTTAGCCACGGGACTTTGGTCGGCCAAAAACGTTTCGAACACTCATTGGGTTAAAGTGAGAGAGAGTATAAAATAACGATAGATCTAATTGGACCACCTGATGTCTCGCACGAGGACGCGTGTTGATACCAGATAATGGCAAAATCTCTTGTAAGATGTTTGGGTCCATGCTTTGTTTGTCGGCTCTACGATACGCACACATCATGGTAAGTAACTATCGCAATTTTTTTTGTAGTTCATGATTAATTTTATCTAGCTCCGATTATATTTCTTTTCTTTTTGTTAAAGACTTAAAGTACTACAATAATATTCTTAAAGTTGTAAAGATTGGTAAATTTTTTGAAGTTTTATTATCTTTTACTCATTTTTATAAATTAATCATTTACTTATTAGTCTTCTCAAAAAAATTCTATGTTGTAGTAGTTATGAATTCTTTTTCATATTAATTTGTGAATAATATTCCATCTTTTCTTTAAAATTTATTCGCCATATATATATTTTAATTAATATTGTTTATTTAGAAAATCAATCTAAATGGGGTGGGCGTCGGCCTACAACGAAATATATGAACCCAGTAACAAAACAGGTTCACCGGAATTTCGCCGGAAAAAATAAAAAGACTCGATCCCTGTTAATCATCATCGTCCACAGAGTGATCAAAAACCTTAGATCTGACAGATTATTCGCCAAATATTTCTCCAACTTAATAGGAGAACAAAGTTGAATAATTTGCTTCTCAATGCGATATTGAACGGTCTAGTATCCATTAAAAACTAAGTCGGCCTAAAATTTTCAATCTATAATTAATTATTTATTGGTTATGGATTAGCTAACCTGATTGAGTAATAAGAGTAGTATTTCTTGTCCAAATCAATGGCGTAAGACTCGACATAAATGGAAATATATACTTAAAAAATAGAAAAGAGAGAATAGTTGAAAGTTGACAAAAGGTCGAACCATCTCTCGCCGATTGGAGGAAGTCATTGTCTCTTAGGATCTAGCGAATCAAGGACCATTCTTTGATGCTACAAATTGTTGTTTTTTTCAAGCCATGTAATTTTTGGATTTTTATATTGGACCTAACATGTGGTTAGCATTTGACCCACGTCCTCTAAGTTTAAATCTAGCTAAATAATTTAGATGCATTACTTTAATTGGTACATTTTTGCATTAGGATAATGGGTTTCTTGTTGATGGCTTAAACAATAAATTAGTGTGTTTTATTGATGTGTGTTAGATTTTGATTGGATTAGAGGTTTCAATTCTTAACCAAGCAAATCTTTGTCCCTTAAAAGTGCTTTCTTATATGAAATTTATTGTCTCCAATAACCAAATACTTCTTGGCTTCTTGCGACACTTAGTGCCAATTCATTTGTTTATATTAACGTCTTATCCAATCAATTTCAAATGAAAGGGAAAAAGACAGAAAGATAGGTTAAAGTTATTTCCAAATTAAAACAAAATTTCCAAAATTATTGTCTAAAGAGTTACGTACTTACGTTTTTCAAAGATTAGGTTATGGAAACAGTTTCAATGAGCCCTAGGTGATCAAAGTTCTTTTAAGTCCTATGTGCTTTACTTTGTTACTTTTCTCATTCTTTTTTTTATAGAAAAAGTTTCTGTAATTTTCTGGTTTGTGTTTATCTATTTTTCTGTTTTTCCAAACTCTCAAATGTGTTATCATTAAGTCTTTCAAATCCAAAAGATTGATTCTAATGACCATCTATAAGTGGTATTCGAGCTTAGATTCGAAGATAATCGTGTTATCTGCAAGAATGGAGATTTAGACGGATCTACGAAAGGAAACAATCCTTTGCTCACCAAAAGATTTTTCAGGAGGATGAAAGTGAGAAGAAGTTGGATATGGAAGATCATGAAAAAAATAGAAATGATAAAACCCTCAATAATCTCATGTTAGAAGAATGGAAAACGAAATCCAGTGTAACAATCATCTTAAGCATTTCATTGGTGACGTTAAACAAGAAGAGAAGGAAAAGATGTTAATCAATTAGAGAGAGTTAGAAACATAGTTGAGATTTGAAGGATTTTGGTTTGATCTCTCTTGGTTTAGGATTGGTTAATCAATTATGATAACACTAAACATAAATTAACATCAAAAAGCATTGCTTATTGTTTTGTTTACTTACAAACCCTCGCAGATAGGCCAACATCGATAAGATATGGCGTGAGTTCTCACACTATTGAGAGCGCATAAAATCTTCATATATCTATGTTCACCGGTTTTACTAGTTTAGGATTGTATGGATTTTGGATCTTGAACTGATCACTTTCAAACTCTTTCTAATAATAGATATTGAGACAATCGCGACAAGATGTAGGTTTGATCACACCGATCAAAGCGGGACTTGCATATAAGTGCAGAAGGTTTGAGATCAAACTGAACTCGTATACGTGATGAAGGTTTGAGTATGCAATATGATGAACCAAATCTTGTATTTGAATATCGAGTGTGTGGTTAAGCCAATTTGGTTCAAACCAAACACAACATTTTGTAATCGTTGGCATCATAAATAAAGAAATAGAAAATCATTTCACAACAAATATATAAGAAAAGAGAAAATATCAATATAGTTTTATACAATAGAAATAGATTTGATCAAACAATGGAAGTTGAAACGAGAGCCTCTCCTCCTACAAGATCTTGAGGGGGACAAAAACATAAAGAATATGATGTAAAGAATTGAATCAATACAATTGTGTAATACTAACCGATTATTAGCCATCAGATGTTTGAACCTGGAAGCTTTTCACTGCGAGAAAACTCGGAGCCCAGCCTCTAGATCCTCCAACTTGATTGTACAAATCTCTTCAGTGTCAACACATTCAAAGCTAAGTCGGAGATCAAGATTCTCCCTCGCGTTAACAAGTAACGTGTCCACCAATCCTCCGTTCATCTCTTTCCTCTGCTTCTCGGTTGTTTCTGCCTCTATCAGTGACGCTATCTCCTGCAGAGTGCAGGACTCATGCAATCTGAAACCGTAGAACAGAGTGTCCTCTCCTTGGTTGTTCATCTTGATGTGTAGTATCTGCGCTAGTTCCTTGGCACTGAAGTCACTGAAATTGAAAAACTTTGTGACCCTTCTGCAAAACCCTTCGTTTGATGCAATCACACGCTTCATGGGCTCACTGTATCCCGCGAATATCACCACGATTTTCCCTGTGTCCATGACCGACATGATTTCTTCCAGAGCTTCTAGACCGTAGTCCTTATCGTCCGCCTTTTGCATCGGGATCAATCTGTATGCTTCATCCACAAACAGAATTCCTCCTTCAGCTTCTTGGATCTGTCCAGAAATTGAAAGAATTTAGATTCTTGAAACCAACAAGCCCACAAGTAAAATCAGAATATTATGAACACTGGTTTTCACCTTTCTCCTGGTCTTTGGTCCTGTATGGCCAACAAACTCACCAACCAAGTCTGTACGCTGTACTTCTGTTACCTTATCAGTTGGTAAAATTCCAACCGTGTTAAGCAACTTCCCAAGAACTCGAGCGACCATGGTTTTACCTGTGTTTTGGATCAACTAAAACAGTCATGTATTGATTTGATTTAAAGACAGCGAAGCATAATCATAAAGCATTCTCCTTTCACCTGTTCCAGGGTTTCCAAGAAATGCCATATGCGGAGGTCTTCGGGTTCCAATGTTCAACCCAAGAGCCCTTCGCCTTTCATCTAAAAGCATTCCTTTTGCCCATTTCCTCAGTTGTGTCTTCAGCTCACTTAATCCAACAATATTTGACAACTCGTCCTCAAGTAGTTCCATCTTGGCTTTGGTCTTACCGCATTGCTCAAGCGCACTTCTTTTCCTCTGCTCTTGGAGAAACCAGCGCAATAATTCCCGTAACTTCTCACTGCCCTGTCCTTGAGGCAGATGGTCCAAAGGAGTCATCCCTTCCTGGAAATACAAAAATCCCACAGCTATTACACAACCAATAACATAATTACTAAAACAAAAGAAACCAATAATATCAGAGGAACATACATTATCTTTTGCGCTGCAATCTGCGTTATGATCAAGCAGTGTCTTAACAGTTGAAATGTCTTTCGCAGTAATTGAGTACCATACGGCAAGGTGCAATGGTGTCATACCGTTCTGCATAAACCAAAACCAAATCAGTCCAAACTATCATCATACTACAAAAGAGAAAACAGATAACTATACAGAGTTAGGAAATTACGCTGGCTTTAGCTTCGATAAACGCACCACGCTCAAGGAGTAGCTTCGCAGCTTCGTTGCAACCGTTCTTAGCTGCCATATGCAATGGAGTCTCACCATACTAAAAAACATTAAACATGATCAATGCAAAATCACAAGCCCAAAGCAAAGATGAAAACAAAAAGCAAAACCAGACTCACAGTATTCATTGCTTCTAACTCAACTTTCTCAGATCCAGTCCAAGCAAGAAGATACTTAACAATATCAACATTACCATTACCAGCAGAAACATGAAGAGGCGTGTGATACATCTGCAATTCCAATCAAAACCCAATTCCAATCAAAGTCAATACAGCACACATTTCAATAAAGTTTGCTTTTTTAGATTCATGGGCACATCTAAAACTTGAAGATCATGAATCCTCTCAAGATTCGAAAGCAGACCCTAGTTAAAAGTTCAAATTTTGCATCCAGATTTCAAAATCCAACAGAAAGAAAGAGTCAAGAAATGGACATACGACGGGATTGCGTTCATTGAGAAGAGAAGGATTGTCTTTAAGAAGTCTCTGCAAAGCAATAAGATCACCGGAGAGAGCACAATCGTGAATTGTGGTGGGTCTAGCGGATCTCAGCCGCTGTCCTCCACCGTTTTGTCGGTTCATGATCTTCTTCGTCAATCCTCAACAACGAGAAGAAGTTTCTTCCACCAAAATCTAATCTTTCTTTGGGAAAGATTTTGTCAGAGGATTTTGCGGAGAATCAACACTATTGTGGAGAAGAAAGAAGAAGAAGAAATAGATTAGAGAATGAGAGTACCTCCGCGTCTTCCTCTTTCGTCACTAGTCTTTTCTTTGGCGTCTCTTCTTCTTCATGATATGTAAAATGACTATTTTACCCCTACCTGACTTTTATGTTTTTTTTGTTTTTACTTTCCTGGCGTCTTCCTAAACCCAGCTAAGCTTTGGTTGCCCCATTATTTCATTGATTAGCCTAATCATATATCACTATTACAAATTACAAATTTTTTAAAAATTTCACACTTACAAAAAAAATATTCTACGAAACTACATTATAAAAAAAACTACTGCTACGCAATGTAAAACCCCTTACATTAATTAAAAAATACTCTTAATTTTTTTTTTTTTTATGTGTTATTAACGAAATTACCATACTGACATATTGCTTTCATACAGATTATTAATTCATTTTAATAATTACCTAATTTTTACTAGACTATATACAGATTTGACCATTAGACTAATAATGTAACATTATAAATATTCATTCAAAACATAGCAACAAAACATAAGTACGACATAGCATTCTTTGCATTTTTAGAATCCAAATTGAGAACAAGGCATGGAGTATGAGGAATACATGGAGATAAGAAATGCTCACGAAAACAAAATTATATAAGAAACCTTAAGCTTCCTTAGCTCCATCTTCAATGAATCTTTGAAACATTTTGTTTCTGTATTTTCAAAATACATATGATTTCCCAACCAGCTTAGTGATGGATAGACAGATGGTGAATAGCCAATATTTTCGAAGTCCTCTTTTGATCCGTGGACCCACCCTTGTCCGACGACTGTGTTTTTATTTCCAGAGACTTTAAAAATTTATTTACTGACTAAACAAATCAACGAGTGATCTTTTCCTATGTTTTGTCTTCATCGCACAATATCGACAATCACTTTCTGGTAAGTCACCTATCCTAAAATCTTCAGCCCAAACATGTTTAACTGTAAAGATTTTTCGAGATATTTGATGTGGATTAGATGTCGGGGACTCCTCGAAACGTGACACTATAATAGACGTTGTTTACTTGTTTTTACTTATCACATGTATAACTTTTAACTTTCTAACTTAGGTGGGATGAATTAATTAGGTATATAGTTCGAACATTTGAATGATGCGCGTAAAGGTAAAATTGACATTGTCCGAATTTTCGATAAGGGAAACCGGGGTCACATGTTTGACTTGTTGACCATTCAGGTTGTAAAATCATTTTCCTTCCAAAAAAAAAATTCTGCAATTTTAAACGACGTTGCTATTTATTTATTTACTAATTTTTGATGATAGGATTCTATTATACGTTTTGGTTCCTGCGACAAAAGAGGATGTATGAGTAAAATCCCAAAAAAATTAGTCAACAAAATTAAAGAAAATAAAGTAGATTTTAACGCTTTGACCTATCACATAGGGAAAAAACACCATTAACTTGGGTCAAATTAGATCCTATAATTCGGGATACAAGATAGTACCTAATTTACTATGTATATAACTACGTCTTCTTCTTCTTTTAAGTTTTAAAACACTATTATATAATTAAGTTATCAAAAAATAAACACTATCGATCTATTTATATCATATAAGATGAGAAAATCATATCAACTTTCTTTCACCGTTCTCACTATCTTTACAATTCTTTTGCTAGGTATGTATTTACATTTTCTTGGAAGAAATTGTTTTTGAAATCATATTAGTTCTTTAAAAATCAATTCAACTATGTTAAAATTGGTTTTATCAAGTATATTCTTCATTCAAGAGTCTTATAATATTAAGTTTAGCTATTTTTTGTTAAATCTATATTACACCTAACATGAATATGAGTTCATTTTTGTACTGAACCCTAGGAAACCAACCCCCACATATACAAATTTCTTCACATATTTTGGTTAATTCTCTACTTTTATAAATTTATATGGTTTAAGCATTATTAAAATTATGGGGGATTAGCAAAAATACCCCTTTTCTCATGCCCCTTTTCAAAAATGCCCCTTTTAGATGTCCATTTTCAAAAATGCCCCTTTTTAAATCTGAAATTTTTATAAAGTTTTATTAGGTTTATAAGGTACTTATGGATTGTAACTACTACTTGAAGACTCGATCCAAGTATTTATAAGGTTTTATAAGGTGTTTTTAAAGGTTTTACAAGTTATTTTAAAGGATTTTTAAGGTTTTTCAAAGGTTTTACAAGATATTTTAAAGGTTTTTAAAGGTATTTAAAATGCATTTATAAGGTATTTATAAAGTATTTATAAGATTTTAGATACATAGAAATGTAGTTTGTGTATGTTTTAATAATATTACATACATATTTGGGTAAATCTTATATTTTTAAGAGCATTTTTTATAAGGTTTAAAAAAAGGGGTATTTTTGAAAAGTGGCATTGAAAAAGTGGTATTATTAACAATTTCCCTAAAATTATTGTGATATTTGTTGATTAAACATTTTTACATTGTTTTTTTATCATCAATGATTCTTTCCTCTCATTTTGCATAGGTAAGTGTTTCAAAGTACAATTAAATGTTAGAAATATACTCTATCCGTTTTAGTGTAGTTGTCGGTTAAGAACTTAAATTTTGTATTATAATAGTTGTCGTTTTAAGTTTTGAATGCAAATATTTGGTGAAAATTCTAGTTTTAGTCATACTATTTAATATTTTGGCTAATGAAATTATAAAATATAATAATAAAGAGTAAAACAGAAAATGTAATAGTTTTCTTAATTTATATGAGAAAACTTTAAACGACATGTAATTCCAAACGGAGGGAGTATTGGTGTTATATATATTACAGTTTTCTATGAAAATTCATATGATACATTCAAATGATTTAATATCTTAAATATGTTTATTATAGTCTTATGTTTCATTTCAAAACAAATATCTCAACTCACGATAAAAAGTTAAATAATATTTTTCTATTATTATATATATATATATATATATATATAATATAAAAACTAAGATTACGAAAAAGATATACAAACTAAGATTTTGTTTCAAACTTGTTTTTTTTTTTTTTGTTAATTATGTTTCAAACTTGTTATTGTAATAGGAGTGGAAAGTTGGGATTTTGCAAATAGATGTACTGCTATTTTACAAGCTGACCGTTGTGACGCAAAGTGCAAGCCTTTGTGTACGAAGAGACATCCACAAGGGGTCTCTCATTGCCACACTGCACCTGGTGGACCTTACAAAGGACGTCCGCAATGTGCATGCACGTGGGATTGCTAATTAGTTTCATTATAATAATAATAATAAATTTCAAATCATATTAATATTAACAACTTTATAATAAAATAATAAAATAGTCGGTATGGATTTCTAGCCTAAACATATGTACTATATTGCTGATGTCGAATTCTAATCTAATAAATTTTTAATTATGGTAATATCTTTTTGAGAGTTATAGATGATAAAGTCAAAGTAAATGTTTTCTGTTTTTATTGCGATTTGTTTTGGGTTCACATTTCAACAGCTTATTTTTAATATGAATTTTTTTATTTTTTAGTTTGTTCTTTGTATGATATAAGAAAATTCAGCTTAAAAAAATATCAGCTCTCATGCAGGTTCAACTTAGTAATTTAAATTTAATGACATTTTCTCAAATAGTAATGGGTAGATTGAAAATCAAAATAAAAAGCACCAAAAAGGGACAATAATTTCATAAACACGACGATAACTTTAGGCTCTACAATATTTGAATCACTCCTAAGCAAATTGGTAGTCTTTTCGTAAATTAATATATATAAAAAGAGGTGTGATAGTTATAAATTTTTTGAGAAAATACAAATAGTGTCATGAGGTTTGAAAAAAGGTCAAATATATTTGTAGACAAAAACTTTAACTCTATGCATTTGAAGAAGACGCCGAATTTTTTTGATTATCATGGTGATGTAGTTAAGTGATGCTCAGTGTAATCCCCTCAAACTGATGATGAATTCACATCAATAAAAATAAAAATAATTACAATTAGTGACTACATATGAATTTTATCGATCACTTTAGGTTTCTAAATACTCCTCCGATCTTATTTAGTTGATATTTTAGGAGAATGCACATAGATTAAGAAATCATTTAATTTTTGTTTATTTCTAAACTAAAACATCATTTATTATCTAATCAACCAATAGAAAAACAATTTACACAATATAAATCATCAAAACCAATAAAAAAACTAACTAATATTGCATTAAAAACTGAAAACATCATCTATTAAAGAACAAAAATATAAGCTTAAAATATCATTTATAAAAGAACGGAGAGAGTATTATAATTGGCCTTGTAGAAATTGGTATATATTCCAAAATAAATATATATCTTGACTAGTGGAAGATCGATATTATCGATCCTCTGATCATTTTACAACCATGCATGTCACCTCTTCTAACAGAAAATAAGCATATGAGTGGTTAGAAAATTAGCAGATAAAGAATTCATAGAACATTTGGATTGGGTTACCAAACCAGTGTGTGCCCAGACCGTTGTATCTATGAACGGCTAAGAAATTAAATCCTAATAGAGTTTAAAGCCTAGTTTCTCTTATTTTGGGGATGAATGATATTGGAATCTAACTAAATTATGATGTAATTGGTGAAGTTTGGATATTGGACAGCCAAATTGATAAAACTAACGAAAAGCAATAATTATTGCAACAACCATACTTTAACATGTTAAAGAATCAAAGTCTTAATATGCCTCAAAGATTAGCCATCTTTAGCGGTAGTATTGGATATGGGTTGTGTCCTTTGCCAAAGCATGGCGTAAATCAAGTTTGACCTAATAAAACAGAACCGGACTTGGCCCATCTCTTTGCTTCGCCCGGCAGGAGAGTAACTTGGAAAGGTGAAAGGAAAAATCCGCATAGACTAGCAAACTGCATCTCTTACCTATAAATACGGAAAAATACTATTTAGTAAATGATTTCATTTTCACGATGACACATAATAGAGCACACGTTATCTCCCAATTAAGCTTAATCGTCGAATGTCTTGGTCGATCATCTTAGCTCGTCGCTGTCTTGCTAGACTTCTTTAGTTCACTTCAAAAAAAAAAAAATTGGTTTGTTCAAACCATAGTAATATTGTATTATGTCACGCTGACTTCCTCTTTGATTTGGTGTGAGTCGTGGCCTCCTGATTGTTCTAAACTATATAAATAAATTAAGGGAAATTCATGTCAGTGTAATAGGTGCATGCGTGGCCTTGAATAGGTGCAGGTGCACTCATGTTCTTTCCTTCGTTTTTGTGCAAGAAGAATCCCAACTATTTTCCAGTTTCCACACATACAAAAAGTAATTGTGTACGCATTCTTCTCTATGCAATTCATATTCTACGAACAGTAAATGTTGAGCATTTTCGTCTGTACGTATATATATATCTTTAGACCTAATTAAGGTCTTTAAAAAATGACCATGTAATTGATTGTTGGCGTGTGATGTTTTCAGGCCCGGCGCATGACACAATCAAGTTAAGCTATGGCTTAGGGCATTAAATTAAAGGGGGCATAATTTTTTTAAAAAATTTTAGGTCTTTTATATTAGAAAAAAAAATTATAAGTTTTTTGTGAAAAACAAATTTGTTGGGCTTTCCTTTCATTATATTTTGTGGGCATTATGCCTTTAAATCAATAAAATGTTAATTAATGTGTTGTTAATAAATTTTATTAGTAAAATTTTGGTTTAAAAATAAAATAAAACCATAAACATTTACAAAAATATTTCTTTCCATTGATTTATTTCATTTTTTTTTTTTGTGTGCTTGGGTGCTAGCAAGCTTGATTTGATTAATCAAGTAAATATTTAAGTGACTAAGTTTGAAGTTAATAACTGTTTTTTTTTAATTTTAGTTATAGTATGACTTATATTAATCTTATTTGTGATGCTAAGAATTTTTTTTTTACAAAGGGCATGATTTTCTTTAGTAGCGTAGGACATTTAGATATACCGGACCGGCAATGATGATAAGGATATTGCGTTTAGAGAATAAACTTGCATGATTCGTTATGTAGATTAAGTAGAATTAATTTGATGGTATGAGAATAAGTTGACTTACTTAGGTAAGGGCATACGTACGTACGAATTAATGATGTACATATACGTGACTTGTGTTTTATGAATAATGATGATTGGAGCTTAATGCACAAGTAGTCTCGTATATGTTGTAAAAATGAGTGGGACATTGATAAAGATATGACATGAAAGTGTTTATAATGTGAAGTGAAAGTGTTATTAAAGAAATTTAATTATGTATTATTGGAGTTGAACAATATTTTTGGAACAAGTAAACCAACCTTAAGAATTGAAAAAGGTGAATGAGAACATATAGATGATAATGTTTAGGCATGAAGTTGTAACAAGTAAGAGTTATACATTATATTACTTGTATGTCAAGTAACTGTTTTTGGGAAATCTTGCTTGATATAATTGTTTGTTGCATTTCTCACTGATTTGCATATATACCTTGTATTACTATTTAGGTAAGTTTAAGAGCAATAGGGACTACTATGTATAAGTTGACCCAAAAATATATATTTTATGGAAGTCTGAAGACATGGCGCGTAGGAATAGATGTGTACCCAATACAGTTCCATTGTCCAAATTCCGATAGAAGAAGTAATCAAAACTCAACTTAAGTATTGTTGGAAGCAGATCACAGCCTTCTCTTGCTTTGTTACATTCTCCAATTTCTTCTTCTGTCTCCTAAATATTTTTTAACTGGGGAGAGAGGTTTTGCTTTTTGATTAGATCAAACAAGATCTTGTTTGATGTCATCAGCTTCTTCTCCTCCGAGCCAATACAAGAAACACCACCGACGCCTAAGCCAATTTCTACCCATCCTTCCAACGCCTCCTCCGCCGGACTCATTTGGTTCACCCTCCACGATAGCTTCTCCTCCTCCTCCTCGGCGGTCTCCCTCCACATCCACTCCGCCTGGGTTGGGCACTCGGAGCCCTCCACCTCCAGCGAATCCCTCTGGCGAGGGATCTCCTCAACTCCAACTATGACCCCAGGCTTTTCTCCATCGCCGTCGTCTTCCTCAAGATTAGCAACGGGAGTTGTGGTCGGGGTCGCCATAGGAGGAGGAGTTGTTGTGCTTGTTTTGGTGTTGACTTTGATTTGTTTCCTTTGTAAGAAGAGACGACGAAGAGACGATAAAACACCTCCTGCTCCCATAGGTAAAACAAAGATCATCAGTTACATTAAAGAAATCAAATCTTCCTCATTTTTTATGTATCAAACTACGCGGATCATCCAGTTTTTCCTCCACCCTCTTAAGGGCTTGTATTAGGCATCCGTCAATGAACTTTCACTTACGGGGAGCTCGCTAATGCCACCAATAAATTCTCTGAAGCCAATTTGTTAGGAGAAGGCGGATTTGGATACGTATATAAAGGTATATTGACTAATGGAAAAGAAGTTGCAGTGAAACAGTTGAAAGTAGGGAGTGCTCAGGGGGAGAGGGAGTTTCAGGCTGAGGTTAACATTATTAGCCAAATTCACCATAGGCATTTGGTTTCTCTTGTTGGTTATTGCATCGCCGGTGTTCAAAGATTGCTTGTCTATGAGTTTGTTCCCAACAACACTCTCGAGTTTCACCTCCATGGTTAGAAAAACAAAACAAAACTCTATTATGGTTTCTTGCATGCTTTAATGTTTTGAATGAGTACTGATGATTTTTATTTGGGAATTGGATTGGTGATAGGGAAGGGACGGCCAACGATGGAATGGAGTTCAAGAATGAAGATTGCTGTTGGTTCTGCCAAAGGATTGTCTTATCTTCATGAAAATTGTAAGTCTAAGATCATGTTTGATAAATATAGGCCATGTTTGTTTATTCTTTACGCATTTATATATATATTTGAAGGCAATCCAAAAATCATCCACCGTGACATCAAGGCGGCAAACATATTGATTGATATCAAATTTGAAGCAAAAGTATGCTTTATCTTTCCTTTTTTATAATGTTTCCATTAAGGCATTATATGTAAACCTTCTATGATATATTCATGAAGCATCTTTGATAGTATTGTTGTGTGTTGACCGAGTTTGAAGCTGTATGAGACAGAAGTGCCACAAGAATCCAGAACAAGGTTTATAGAGGTTGCATATCATCAATGCTTGTTAGTCCTACAATTCAGTCAACAAGGGAGAGATTGAAGATACATTGTGTTGACAGAATTGTAAGACTGACAACACAGGTGTAAAGGTGCAACAATATGAGACAGATGAGACAAGAATACAATGACAGAATCCTTTCAAAGGCAATGAAGCTGCTAAAGATTCATGTACAACATGGAAGCTTGAAGAACATCAAGTGCAAAGGTCAAGAAAGCTTGAGTTCTATAACTCAGTAACAAAGGGAGAGATTGAAGATACATTGAGGTTGTTACTGGTTAGTAGACTCAAGAGTACTATGATCATGAAGCTGTGAACAAGAATGATACAGATTCATGGACAGTTACAGACGTTGTGTAATGCACATGACGTTGAGAACAGGTGCAGACACAATTGCAGTGAGCTTTGTGGTAGACGCAGATGCGTTATCCTTCAACTAGAGTATCCGAGACAGCTGAGACATCTCAATGTGAAGTCACATGGAATGAAGTGATGAACTGAACCTTGGAGTCTTATTTAGATGATCCAAGAATTGAGAGCTCAACCAATCATGCGTTAAGCTCATGAAAACAAGTCTTCCATAAGCAGATGAGTAAACTTGAAAGTACAACAGAGCAGAAAGAAAGTAGCAGTTGTGTGAGAAAACAGAGTAGAAACATGTTTAGCAGTTTGAGTAAACTTGAAGCGCATCAGTACCGAAAACATAGCAGACAACATGTTGTTGTTGTGAAGTGCATCAAAGCGGAAAAGCTTCAAGTTGCAGTAAACAGTGGAAGAGTTGTAAAGGCTTGCATGCATCAGAGGTAGAGCATGGTTCAAGTTGACATGCCTATATCATGGTGCAGTGGTGCAGGTGCGACAGAATAGAGGCATTGGTCAAGTTGACAAAAGAGCACAAGCTATTATCCAAAAGACAAAAAGGTGAGCTTGGGAACTTAGGGTTTTGGAGAACTCTATGGAGTATAAAAAGGAAGGGGTGCTCACAAGAAAAGGTTGCACACCTAAGGGTTTCTTTTTATATGCACACTTTGTGTGTGGTGTTGCCCCATCAACAAAAGAGAAATATGTTGATGGTTGTTGTAAGAGGAATCATACTCATCCGAAAAGACAATGAGTGTTGGTTTCTTTTAGTTCATCTAGATTAGAGTGGTAGGCACAAGTCTGTGCTAGATACCATTGGCAAATGTGATTTTTGCATTCTAATTCTAGTGAATGATTCTGGACTTGGTCCCGGGGATCAGAGCCGTAGCTAGATAGAAGCAAGAGAAGCGGGAGCTGCGGCCCTCCGAGAAGTTATTAATATTTTCGGCCCTCAAATACCAATGTGTTTTGGTAGCCTAGTGGTATTATGTCATACACCACATATCTTAGGTCATGAGTTCGAATCACCTAAAGCGTGAGAGAAAGTTTTTTTTTGTTTTTTGTTTTTTTTTTATGGTTAAATTTTTTTATAAGTATACACTTTTCTAGAGCGGCCCTTTTTTTTTTTTCGCGGGCGGCCCTCATAATCGTTGCTACGGCTCTGCCGGGGATGTAGGTTATCCGAACCCCGTTAACAAATATCTTGTGTCGTCCCTTCTCTATGCTCCCATCTCTCTGTTCAGCATCGCACAGTCATACAAGTATGTAGATCTAGCACGCATATCTTACTTCAATCTTTGTATTTTTGTGCCTCTCTTCTATATATTAGGTTGCTGATTTTGGTCTCGCCAAAATTGCTTTGGATACAAACACTCATGTATCTACACACGTGATGGGAACCTTTGGGTAAAGATCATCTTGAAGCTACTAAATATATACATTTATGCATTTTGTACTATTTTTGTGACATCGTACAAATTACTAAAACTTTTGGTTATGAGATTTTAGGTATTTGGCTCCGGAATATGCTGCAAGTGGAAAGCTCACAGAAAAATCTGATGTTTACTCATTCGGCGTTGTACTTTTGGAGTTAATAACCGGACGTCGCCCTGTTGATGCAAACAATGTCTATGCAGATGACAGCTTAGTTGATTGGGTAATTAATTTATCTGCAAATAATTCAACCTTCACATAATTTTACCATTTGACTGTTGAAAATGAAGCAAATGCTACGTGTGCATGGAAGTAGGCACGACCATTGCTTGTACAAGCACTTGAAGAAAGCAACTTTGAAGGTTTGGCTGATATAAAGCTGAATAATGAGTATGATAAAGAAGAGATGGCTCGCATGGTTGCTTGTGCTGCAGCTTGTGTTCGCCATACAGCTCGGCGAAGACCTCGCATGGACCAGGTAACTTAATTAGTTTTTAATTTTCTTAGCCAAAAAAAATAAATAAAAAATCGGCTCAAACACCGAACCAACCAAAATTACTTGGTTTTTCAGTTTTGAAATATGTATACAGTAGAACCAAAAGATGTTCAGTTCTGTTCATTTTTTGGTTGGTCGGTTATGAATACAAAAATTACCAAAACATAAATAAGTAATTAATTTTAACCAAAATTATTTATATATCTTATAATAAAAATATATTTATATATAGTGTAGAACTAGTGTATACAAAAAATATGATTTTGATTTTGGTCTTTTGGTTTTGGTCATTTTGGTTGGTTCGGTGTTTATGCCTAGCCTTATGTATTTTGTTATATAGTATACTTAAACAACATTACTTGAATAAAAACTGACATGCATGACCGAAAAGTGGGGAACATGTCTGCTTAGCTGGAATTTTTTTTTTCAGTTTGCAAAATATGAGTCATTTAAGATGTTAATAATGTGAGCGGCTAATTGGTGTAAGAAATGAGCAGGTTGTGCGTGTGCTAGAAGGAAACATATCGCCGTCAGATCTAAACCAAGGGATAACACCCGGTCACAGCAATGTCTACAGTTCATAGAGGAAGCACATATTATGACACGAGCGAAAACAATGTAGACACGAAGAAGTTTAGGATAAAAGCAGGGCACGGCGGGCGAGTACAGTAATCCAACTAGTGACTATGGACTGTATCCGTCCGGCTGGGCACTCGAGCAGTGAGGGTCAAGCCACATGGGAAATGGAGATGGGGAAGATTAAAAAGAACCGGTCAAGGTTATGGTGGAACCTCTCTTTAAATAAGAGGGAAGAAGATGCATGACTTTTTTGGATTTTTTAAAAAACTGTAAAGATACATATGCATCATAGTACACATGCGAGACAAGACAAAATTGATTAGTTCTTTATTATTAATTACAGTTTTGATTAGTTGGAGCAATTGATAAACAGGTTTAAGATGTGATGGTGAACTCAAAATTTTCTGGTTCGGGATTCGGTTCGCCATAGGAGGAGGAGTTGTTGTGCTTGTTTTGGTGTTCATCTCTTTGATTTTTTTTCCTTTGTAAGAAGAAACAACGAAGAGACGATAAAACACATCCTGCTCCCATAGGTAAAACAAAGATCTCAAATACATTCGAGAGATCGAACCTTCCACTATATTGTTCCTCATTTTCTATGAATTAAACTACTCGGATCATCTAGTTGTTTCTTCACCCTCTTTAGGGCTTGTATTAGGCATCCAACAAAGCACTTACACTTACGGGGAGGCACCAATAAATTCTCTGAGGCCAATTTGTTAGGAGAGGGCGGATTTGGACTCGTATACAAAGGTATATTAACTAATGGAAATGAAGTTGCTATGAAACAGTTTAAAGCAGGGAGTGCTCAGTGAGAAAGAGAATTTCAGGTGTTGGAACTTGGTTTTTGACAAAGTGGTTTTTACCATCCTCCGGTGGATTTTCCGGTGAAGAGATTCATCGGAATGATGGTTCTTGGGCACCATGAAATCGTAGCCGCGAGCACTACATGATAGTATATTGGAATGTCAAAAACGGTGTTCCTTTGAATTAGAAATAAAGGTCAAAAGTAGCTAGCTTGGAAAGCTTAATATTGGAATGTTCTAACGGACACGAATGTCAATTGAGGTTTAAGATTTGGAATTTGAAAAATATAAAATGGGCAATTGCCTAAAAGATTATTTACCCAAATTCATGTTTTATTTATTTTTAATTAAATAATAACTAAAAAGGAAAATATCTTCTTTTGATTGAAATTGTAACGACACAAATCAATGTGAAGAATCAATTTCCATAACTCCCAAATTCTCACTTTATTGCTCACGTTGAACGCTTGGCTATATCCTATATAACCAAGTCTTCATCTTCTTATCTCACAATCACACTACGAGCAATTAAAGAATTAAGGAGAAAGCGTCTCGCCTCCGCACAAACCATTTTTCGTTCGTTAGTGTTTGGTATCGAGTTTTATAAATTTTATTCTGTTTTTATCATTATTTAATTACAATAATTTTTCAGGTCGTCATATCGTAGAAATTGAAGTTCTATAGTATTAATTCTTTAATTTTCCTTATTGTACTAACGAAAATTGATTAATTGTTGAAATTTATTCTGATTATTTTGTTTAATTTGCTGATTAGTTTTAATTAGTTTTTGCAATTTATTTTGTTTATGACGCTTAAATTGCTGCATATCTAAGTTGAATGTTTTAATTTCTGCAATTTTTAATTTGATTATAGATTGATGATTTATATGCGTTTATGTTTAATGCCATTTATTTGATATATTTTGGATAAGTGAAAAGAGACATTTAAAAACAAAAAAAAGTTGTGCAATTGTTGTCGTTAAGTTCATCTCTTAAATAGTATTTCGACCTTTCACATTCACAATTTTAAGCACCAGAGGGCTTGGGATTGATTTGAATGATGATCTAGTGAAGGAAGAAGACAGAGGAACTGGATCTAGATCTACACCAAAGTTTGATCTCAATAGGTCACAATCACAAGAAGATGAAGACGAAGAAGAGAGGGACGACAAATCCGAGTAGAAGCACGTGTGACTTTAAACATTTGAGTGTCCTATTTTCTCTTAGGGCATGAGTTTCCTTTGATTTTCTCTTCTTTTTGACTCATCTTCATATCTTCTTGAGGTGGTGACCTATAGCAATCAAACTTTTGTGTAGATCTAAATCCAGTTCATTTGTATTCTTCCTCCATTGGATCATTGTTCAAATCAATCCCCAGCCCTCCAGTGCTTGAAATTGTGTGTGTGATTGGTCGAAATACTATTTAAGAGATGAACTTAACGACAACGATTGCACAACTTTTTTTGTTTTTAAATGTCTCTTTTCACCACATGCATTTGGTTTCTCTTGTCGGTTATTGCATCGCCAGTGCTCAAAGATTGCTTGTCTATGAGTTTGTTCCCAACAACACTCTCCAATTTCACCTCCATGGTTAGAACAAAACTAACTTTTATATGGTTTATATATTGCATGCTTTGTTCTTTTTGGAAATTGAATTTAATTTTGTGACACTGTGACAGGGAAGGATTTGACTGCGATGGAATGGAGCAAATGCTACGTGTTGGGTAATTAATTAATATAACTGCAAATAAATTAACCTTCACATGATTTTTACTATTTGACTGTTGAATTAAGCAAATTCTACGTGTGCATGGAAGTAGGCACGACCATTGCTTGTACAAGCACTTGAAGAAAGCAATTTTGAAGGTTTGGCTGATATAAGCATAATAATGAGTATGATAGAGAAGAGATAGCTCGCAATCTCGCATGGTTGCAGCTTGTGTTCGCCATAAAGCGCGCTGAAGACCTCGCATGGATCAGGTAATCAGGTAACTTGATCATTCTTTTCTTTAGAGGTGGGCATTTGGTTTTTCAGTTTAAATACTGACGGAAGCAAAATGATTTTCAGTTCCGTTCAGTTGGTTTGGATGGTTCTTGTTGGAACTTGTCCAGAATTGAAGATACATATACATCATGCTACAAGACAAGATTAATTCTCTCTTATTATCACTGTTTTGATTGACTGGAGCAATTGATAAACGGTTTTGGATGTGATGGTCAACTCAAAGTTTTAGGGTTCTGGATTTGATTTAGTATTCGGAATTTACTTAGAGTATCCTTTACTTGGTGTTATTTAAAAACAAAGCTAATGATTATTAGATAGATTCAAAAGAAGCCCAAGATAAAGTTTTATGAGAAGTCCTTTAGCCCATATAACTATGGTTTTAGCTAGTAGAAATTCATATAAATGTGTGTTTAAAACATCAATGTAAAGGTAGCTTTGAGAGTTGTCTCAAAACAACTCTACTCCTCCATCTTTATAAAAGTATTAATCTTGAATCATTGTGTTCTTGGTGATAACAACGTAATCTTTCCTCTTTGAGTTTCTTTGCATATTAAAGCTCTTAATAAAGCTTAAATCTTTCATTGTTTTGAGATTGCTTTCAATGATGAATCATCTTTTCTTCTAACAAACCAAGACACAATTAAATTTTAAACAAGTGTTTATCATTTATGTAATAATAACCTATTACAAACCAAGTGTTTATCATTCTAAATATTGGGTTGAACCAAATGTGGAGTTCAATTCTCTAAATAGCATAATCATATATAGGCAAAAAGTAAAGCCTTCTTGGCTGTACTATAGCATATGCACTTTGCAATGTTCTCATCCAACGATTAATTACTAATCTCAAAAGCTAGAAAAAGATTACATAAGTGACAATAAAATATCAATGCAAAGTGTTTATATGCATACTTTTATCTTTCAAACATTCTATAACAGTTTCCGATAAATATAGATATGCAGATAATATAATATCACAAACCTAGTTTTGTGTTTACGATGTAATATGGTGTTCTCAATTAAAGAAATGAGTACTTTTCTATACAAGTTGGGAAAAAAGCCAAAATTGACTGGACCGAAGCTATATTAAGAGAATGGGGGCGATAGGACCAAGGGGGAGTTGCGATTTTATCTTAAGCTTGTGTGTGTGTGTCTTTTTTTTTTTTTTTTTAATTTGGATGTTGACAGCTTTACTTTTTTTCTTTAAAAAAAACACTAGAAAATAAGAGAATATTAGAAGGTGAGACCAGCGAATGTCATGCCACAAATCATGTTCATAATGTTATACCAAACAATTATAAATCATGATCATGTCCCCATGTGACGCTTTACTTTTCTATATTATCGCCTAACCCCACTCGTACGTTTTTATAAGATTTTTCACACAATTAAGATATTAGTTGATTTTTGTGGAAAGAAATCGGAATTTTTCCTATAAAAAAATCTTCGTATGACTTTGCAATAAGACCATCTGCAGTGGCACAACTGCTAGGTGATCTTCAGTAATAAAAAAATAGAAAAAACTCCAACAGTAGAACATTTGAGCAAGATCTCATCTTGATCTTGAGCTGATCTTGAGCATTTCTCTCTTTCTCTCTCTTACCTCTTCATATAATATCATTATATATATAATATTATTATAATAACTTTAAGATCAGTTGCTCCATTGTAAATGGCCTAAGAGATCATTTAAAAATCTTCGGAATTTATCTCACTCAATTCCTCTCGGCTCTCGTGACAGAGACAAATTATCCCCTCCACACAAAGACACACGCCCACTAATAGAGACTCCATCTCCCTCACTAAATTCATCTACATTAGTAATTCATTGTTACTATTATTGCTTTATCTTTGTTTGGTACGTATGAATATATATCATAAGCAATATGAGACTTAAAAAAAAAAGGTGTTCAAATCACAATACAAAGAAAGGGATATAAAGTTATAATCGTTATGGGTCATACAGTAACTCAGTAAGAGACAATTAAACAATTGATTTAGCTACCACTTAATCTAGTTGGGCACTGAACAACATAAGTAGAAGATAAAGAGAAGAGACTATTGGAGATTAGCTTTCTTTGGGACTATTAGCCATGATGTCCACGACCACATCGGCCAAAATAATAACTTTTTTGTATGATTTTGTAATGTGAGACTTTACCACCTTTCCATAATATTTAGCGGACATTATTATTGAAGATAAAATTTATTTGAATATTTGATTTAAAATCAAATCTGTTCAATAATATGCAAACCAAAATATCTCCGGCATGTATAAACTAACCATACTTAATTTAACAAATAATCACCGCAATCACGCCGCGTTGAATTTGTTTTTCCTTAGATTTAGCGTATGTCGTCGATTGTTTAAGTAAACTAACATAAAACCAAATGATAGACCATTCACCGAATACAATAATTAATTTCATTATCTTATATTATATATTATGAGAACATTATCTGAGAATCTGGAGACCGACGTCCATGATAAAACTGACGTGACATTAAGAACCTTAATCGAATTTGATTAACAAAATATTTATTTGTTGCCCGTTTCAATTCTAGTGGATTATTTTATTTTGGTGTAACTTGACATTTTAGATAATAGATTAGGGGAAATGTCAATGTAATAGGTGGCCTTTAATTTGTGCTGGTCGCTTTGGAGCAAGTAGAATCCCAACTATTTCCACACATTTAAAAAAAACTTAAATTACGCATTTTTTTTTTTGATAAAAAAATTATTTTTGATAAATTAAATTACGCATTCTAAATCTTAAATTTTCTATAAAAAGAAAATATATTATGAAATTTTATACTATTAAAAGTCTAATTGCCTAATATGTATATCATATGAGTTATGAGCATGAGAAAAAGATGTTAAACAAAAAAAAAATCAGATGGCCAAAATTAATAGCTTCTCTTAATTTGCTTAAGTTGTGTAATAACTTTGACCATTGATTTTTTTTTTTGTTACATACTTTCACCATTGTATTCCTAATTTCGTACATGTATCTTTTTTTGCACTTTTTTACATCATATCCTTTTTTTTTACATTATATCTTTTATTTACCGTTAACCACATTTTTTTGTTGGGGTCTATTTCATGCACCAATATTAAAATCGTAGAATATCGATGGCCAAATAAAAAAAAATGGAAGAGGATCTAAACTTTCTTGTTTTCTTCTGGTCCTAAAAAATCGAATTATTCAGTGTTTTCATTAAATGCATAGTTCCGCGTCTGCATCTTATTTGGCAAGATAGATTGTCTGCAACGACACATCACTTTTCTTTTCTCAAAAATCAAAAAGACTAAAAAGTAACTTTCGAATTTATTCAGTTCCTCAACTCCATCTAGTCACTTTAATTAAGCAAAAATAATTACTTAAAGAAAAACCTTCGCTAGTGACTGAATAATTAGAAGAAAATATTTTCTCTTTGGTCAATTAACAAAAAAAAAATCAATTCTAATTTGTACATTCAAATAAAAACATTATTTTTCTCAAATTTGTAGTCCAACAAACACGACGCGTATGTGTTTTTTTTTCTTTTTGGTAATAAGAAGAAAGAACGTAAAAGGAAAGTGACGCGGACGAATCGTGTTAGACCCAAAAAGAACAGCTTCCATTGTCCAAATTCCTTACCAAAAAAAACTCTACTCTCGGTGGCACCAGATCACTCCTCCTCTCTCTTCTCCTACCTTTTTCACATTCTCTTCTTCTTCTCTTTTTCTCTGTCTCTCGTGATTCTTTATTCATTAGATCGAAGCAAAGATGTCCACAGCGCCGTCTCCAGGAACTACTCCATCACCATCTCCACCATCTCCTCCCACAAACTCAACAACCACCACTCCTCCTCCATCTTCCTCTCCTCCTCCCACCACAACTCCTTCTTCTCCTCCTCCGCCGCCGTCAACTAATTCAACCTCTCCTCCTCCTTCTTCTCCTTTACCTCCTTCTCTTCCTCCTCCATCTCCTCCTGGATCTTCCACTCCTCCTCTTCCTCAACCTTCTCCCTCCGCACCCATCACTCCATCTCCGCCGTCTCCTTCCACTCCTGGATCAAACCCTCGAAGCCCTCCATCTCCAAACCAAGGACCACCAAACACTCCCTCAGGACCTACTCCTCGAACTCCATCTAACGCTAATCCTTCGCCGCCGTCTGATTCTTCCGATGGATTGTCTACAGGAGTGGTGGTCGGAATCGCCATTGGAGGAGTTGTTGCGCTTGTGGTACTGACTCTGATTTGTCTTCTCTGTAAGAAGAAACGAAGAAGAAGACATGACGATGAAGCTGCTTACTATGTTCCTCCTCCTCCTCCTCCTTCTGGTCCCAAAGGTAAAATTCAAAGATCTCAACTTTATGAAATAAAAATCGAATCTTTAACTATAATTGATCAAATCTGTTACTTGATTATGCATTGTTATCTGTAAAAGAGATTACTTGTGTAGAAAAGTTTGAAACTTTACAGAGATTTGATGTTGTTTATCAGCTGGAGGACCTTACGGTGGACAACAACAGTATTGGCAACAACAAAACGCATCACGACCGTCAGATAATCATGTAGTGACGTCATTGCCACCACCTAAACCTCCATCTCCACCACGGAAACCTCCTCCGCCTCCTCCACCACCGGCATTCATGAGCAGCAGTGGCGGTTCTGACTATTCGGATCTTCCGGTTCTTCCTCCACCATCTCCAGGGCTTGTGTTAGGATTTTCTAAAAGTACTTTCACTTATGAGGAGCTCTCAAGAGCTACTAATGGCTTCTCTGAGGCTAATTTGTTGGGACAAGGCGGGTTTGGTTATGTGCATAAAGGTATATTGCCTAGTGGGAAAGAAGTTGCTGTGAAACAGTTGAAAGCTGGGAGTGGTCAGGGAGAGAGAGAGTTTCAGGCTGAGGTTGAGATCATTAGCAGAGTTCATCACAGGCATTTGGTTTCTCTTATTGGTTATTGTATGGCCGGTGTTCAAAGATTGCTTGTCTATGAGTTTGTCCCCAACAACAATCTCGAGTTTCACCTCCATGGTTAGAGAAAACAGAACTCTTCCTTGTGCTATTATTACATTGCTTTGTTGTTTTCAGTTAGTGATGAATGATGATTTGTTTGGGAATTGAATTTGTTATAGGGAAGGGACGACCTACGATGGAATGGAGTACTAGATTGAAGATTGCTCTTGGATCTGCTAAAGGACTTTCATATCTTCATGAAGACTGTAAGTCTGAAAACTGAAATGTATATAGATGTTTTATATAATAGTCTTTCTTTTATTTATGAGGTATATATATATATATATATATATATAAATATTTGCAGGCAATCCGAAAATCATTCACCGTGATATTAAGGCGGCAAATATACTTATTGATTTCAAGTTTGAAGCTAAGGTATGACAAAGTCTTTATTCGATATGTTTGTGAAGTGTTTTTGTAATTTGTGTCTCTGAAGCTCTTCTATCTTTCAGGTTGCTGATTTTGGTCTTGCCAAGATTGCTTCTGATACAAACACTCATGTATCTACACGCGTGATGGGAACCTTTGGGTAAATATCATCTTGAATCTACTAAACATGTCCATTTATGCAGTTTGCTTAATGTATGTGATCCTTATTATTGTACAACAAATTCTGAAACTTTTGGTTTTGGGATTTTAGGTATTTGGCTCCAGAATATGCTGCAAGCGGAAAGCTCACAGAAAAGTCTGACGTTTTCTCATTTGGTGTTGTACTTTTGGAGCTTATAACCGGGAGGCGCCCTGTTGATGCAAACAATGTCTATGTAGATGACAGCTTAGTTGATTGGGTACTTACTATGACTGCAGATATTTTAATCTTCTGATTTCTTACAATTTGACTGTTGGCTGAAGCAAAAACTATGTGTCAATGATGGTGGAACAGGCACGACCCTTGCTTAACCGAGCATCTGAGGAAGGAGATTTTGAGGGTTTGGCTGATTCAAAGATGGGTAATGAGTATGACAGAGAGGAAATGGCTCGCATGGTTGCATGTGCTGCAGCTTGTGTTCGCCATTCAGCTCGCCGCAGACCTCGCATGAGCCAGGTAACTTAATTTGACCACAGTCATCCTTTTCTCTAGAGAAGAGCATTCACTTTGGTTTTTTGGGTTATTTGGGTCGCTTCTGTTGCACTAGCTTCAGTTGCAGATTGGTTTGGTTCTGTTTATTTGGTTTTTGGTTTGGTGTCAGTGAGAAATTTCGGTTCAGTTATGTTTTTATGCCTAGCCCTACTTTATTTTGCTGCACATCATACTATCTAAACAACACCGGTTGAATAAAAGCTGACTTGTCCAAAGAATTGGCAACATATTTTCTTAGCTGCGGTTTCTATTGTTAATAATGCTAATGGAGTGAGTGATTTGCTGTACAAAATGAGCAGATAGTACGTGCCTTAGAAGGAAATGTATCACTGTCTGATCTTAACGAAGGGATGAGACCGGGTCACAGCAACGTCTACAGCTCATATGGAGGAAGCACAGACTATGACACGAGCCAATACAACGACGACATGAAGAAGTTTAGGAAAATGGCACTAGGAACTCAAGAATACGGCACAACCGGCGAGTACAGTAATCCAACAAGTGACTACGGACTGTACCCATCTGGTTCGAGCAGCGAAGGTCAAGCCACACGAGAAATGGAGATGGGGAAGATTAAGAAAACCGGTCAAGGTTATAGTGGACCTTCTCTTTAAACCACAAGAGGAGAGAAATTGCAGGGTTTTTTGGATTCTTTTTTTTATTAACTGTAAAGATTTGAGGAAATTGCCTTACTCTCTAATTGATCTACTACGATATATGATTACATTTAAATTTGTTTTTCTTTGGTTTCTTCTTTAGATGTTGTGATGTTTTGATTCTTGGTTGAATATTATTCTTTCATTCTTTTTTCTTTCTTCATTAAGTACTTGTTTGTTATGTTCTTCGACCTTTTGGCCTAGTTTGGTTAAGTTCCAACACATTTTGTTCATTATACATCTACAAAGTAGAAACTATCACTAATCACATAACCAAACCTCTCGTTTTTGTGATTTGACTATAGATTGGAAGCTTTTCTTGGTTTGGATGTTTCATCAAATCTAGATCATATAGAGTTCAACTGGTGACAGAAATGGTAAAAGGTTCTCGGTTTTGTTTGGTAACTCATACTACAGCGGTACAGATTTTAGCGGTTTATTACTTACCAATCTTTAAAACTGTAAAAGTTAGCGGAATCGAAAACGATACTCTTAAAGTTAGACTGGTTCGGTTAGGAACAATCAATCACTAGTCACAACCTCTCGTTTTTGTCATTTGACTATATGGAAGGTTTCTCTGGTTTGAATGTTTTTTCAAATCTAGATCATACAAAGTTCGACTGGTGACATAAACGGTAAAAAGTTCTTTGTTTGGTAATTCATGCCATAACAATACGGATTTTACCGCTTTATTAGTTACCAATCATCTCTTATTGTTACTTTTTATCTCTTCTAACTATTTGGATATAGCTCACTGTTTCTTTTTTCGTTTAACGATCTTTACAGCTTTGTGTCACCAATATGACCGAAAAGAGATAAAGAATGGTAAAATACAAAGTGGTAAAAATGAATTTTGCACGCTTTTGTTGTCTTTCTACTTTGGCTTACCGTTTTACCAATCCATCAAAGTTATTGCGTTCCGGTGATTCAATAATGTATTTTCTCTCTAACTTATCACAACACAAAATTTATAAAGTAGACAAAATGTACCAAAATTTATAAAAATACCAGAAAATAGACTGTAATCTGATATGAGAAGAAGAAAAAAAAAAAAAGACTGTAATCTGATATTTTTATTGAAGGGCCCAAAAAAAAAAAAAAAAAATTACAAAACCCAAATTTTCGAAGGAAAATAAGACTAAACTCGAAGTGACACAACTCGCGAGTTCGCCCATTCGTAAATGGCGCGAGGTCTATCTCTATGCACCAATGGAAGAAAGTCTTCGACTTTACTCTCAATCTCCATTCCTAGGGTTTCACTTTCCTTTTCTCCAAAAACCCTTTTCACTTCTTCATATCCACATCAATCTCGCCACCCAAAAATCTCACGATTGTTCTGTAACCACACCTGTGTTCCCGAGACGGTGGACGAAACGAAGTATAAAGAGCTTTTCAATAAAAGAATGGCTATGGCAGGACTTAAACCTCACCACCGAATTGGTAATTTGCTAATTTTCATAGTTTCTTCAATTCAATTGGTTCCATTTCAGCAGAAACAGTGATTGGACAATTGTGTTGTGTGTTTTCAGCTTTGGGAGTTTCAGGTGGTCCTGATAGTATGGCTCTTTGTGTTTTAACTGCAAAATGGAAAACTGAAGGATTAAGTTGTGTTAATAAAACAGATGGTTTTATTGATGGACTTGTTGCTATAGTTGTGGATCATGGATTAAGACAAGAGAGTAAAGATGAAGCTGAACTTGTCTGTTCTAGAGTTTCTCAAATGGGTAAGTTTTTGAGTATGAATATTTGATTTAACCTTTTTGAGTATTTTTTAGTAATTTGGGGAAAGTTTATAGGAATCAGATGTGAGATTGCGAGTTGTTATTGGGTTGATGGTAGACCAAAGCTTGGTCACTTGCAAGAAGCAGCTCGTGAAATGAGGTTTTACATTTTTTTATTTCTGTTGATTTGAATCATTACAGGTAAAGAAACTATGTGTTTATGTGTTTTTCTCTTTTTAAAGGTATCAGATGATTTCGAATGTTTGTTTTCGACAGCAGATTGAGGTCTTGCTTATAGCTCATCATGCTGATGACCAGGTAATTGGCTCTTGAGAATGTAAAGTGTCATATTGAGATATTCATGAAATGTTGTCTGAAGTTGGATGCAGGCTGAGTTATTCATTCTCAGGTTATCTCGTAGTAGCGGTGTACTCGGGCTTGCGGGTACAGCTTTTGCTTCCGAGATTTTCTCCAGAAATCTGCAGTTAGATGCAAAACATATGAAGAACCGATCTATTCTCTTAGTGCGTCCGCTACTGGATTTATGGAAAGAAGACATGTATAAGGTTCTCTCGAAACTAGAAACGCAAGAATCATTTATAGTTTTATGGTTATTCTCATTTACTCTTTATCTTATATGCTAGCAGATATGTCAATGGGGTAGACAAGATTGGGTTGAAGATCCGACTAATCGTAGTCAATTGTTTGTCCGGAACAGGATTCGAACGTCAATAGGAAATCTACATTCAGGCAAGTCTATCAAACATCAAACCGGACTTGTCCTCTAAAGCTTGATGACTGATATAAGTTATTGTTTTCTTTTCAGGTAGCTTCAAGTCAGAGCTTCAAGCAGTCATTTCTGAATGCCGGAGAACACGGTCGTTTGTTGATAAAGTTTGTACAGACTTAATAAGTCAGACCGTATCAGTGACAGATGTAAGATCATTTTCCAGTTTAAGCACACTGTTTCTGACTTGGTAAGAGTGAAAAATCATCTCTATTTTGATGTTGGAATTAGCAGAAAGGGTATGCTATTCTTGATCTAGAGAGACTAAATCCTTCAGGTGTTAAAGATATTTGCCTCTCAAAGTATCTTGCTGCTGTCCTGCAGGTGTTAGATCTTGAACCTTTTTCATTGGTAAAATTACTGCCCTTTGAGTGTTTTCTTGACTCTTCGTTTCTCTTGAATCTGCAGTTTATCTCTCAACGGCAAAGACCAATCAGAGGAAACACTTCAAAGTTGCTTTTGAACTATATCCGCGCAATTCCGTGCAGGGTAATCATTGTTAATGTTGTTCTGTTTCTATAGATTTTGATCTGTACTATTTAAAGTAACATTTTCACCATTTGGGTACTCAGACATCTCTAACAGCTGCTGGTTGCTACCTTAGTCCAGCTCCTGGGTCCAAGGGTACCAAAATTATAGTTTCCTGTTCTGTTGACTGTCCTTTACCGTCAAAGACAGAACTCGTGAACATTTGCGTCAATGAAGCTCAGAAAAAACCGACTTCTGATGAGTTCAGTAAAATCATATCAGATGCAACATCTATTTCAGACCAAGCAGCCCCGAGCAAATTGTTTCAAGTCCAGTTTTTGGATGTTGCATCTGAATCCGTATTGAGTAAAGCCAGAGAGCTCAATCTTCTCAGCGAATCTACCTATACAACCATCGGTCTGCTGCAAAGGAATGAAACGAATCGGTTCATAACTAAAACCGAAGACAAATCAGTCGAAGAATCAGAGCATGGAACCAACATACCATCTTCCTCTGATAAAGTACATCTTTGGCCAGGGCAAAATCTCTACTTCATGAACCGGTTTCTCATCAGATGGAACTTGAGCGACCACCAATGTGATGAAGCAGGCTGCAGAAATTGTCCAGTGAAGACAGCTACATCAATGGAGGTTCGGCACATGGTTGAATCCGACTGGCTCTATCTAGCTGAGCTTTCAAAATGCTCGAACTCAAACCATTCTGTTTCATCCTCACAAAAAGCTCTCAGGTCCTTAAAGTTAATCCCAGCCGCTGCAAGAAAAAGCCTCCCGGTCTTGATCAATCATTGCGGATTACTACTCAGTGTTCCTGTACGTGACTTACCATTTAATGTCATCATTTTTATTTGTGTTTTAAGATTTGACAACTATAGAACCATGAATTGATTCTCTTCTGTGCGCTTTTCAGGCTATTGGCTTCAACTATTGTCCATGCCTTGAGGCATCTGCAGTGTTTCTTCCAAGAGTACCACTCGGAGGTGGTCATAGCTCATTTCTCTAGTCTAGCCATATCCTGTTTCATTCATTCAATTCTAACAGACATTTATTCACTTGTACTGAATTCTTGTGAAACGAAATAATATTTGATCAAGAATCTGTATCCTAGGCAATTTTCGTTATTGAAAATTGCCAATTACACTCGTTTTTGTTTTCATTCAAAGTTTATGACAGGGAAAACGATCATACTCCGCCTTGGCCACCTCGTTCTTTTAATGGTTGAAATGATGAAGTAAACCATTGCTTCCAAGCTGCGTCCTTTTGTTGCTCGACCCATGAGAGGAAGGCACTGTCTACTAGGCAAAAGATGTTGACGTAAAGCAACTGGTATTGCACGGGAACATATCTGAAGTTTGCAATCTGAAGAAGTGGCCATGCTCCGCCTTCAAGAGCTAGAGCCGGAAGAAAATCTCTCTTGAGCCCTTCTTTCACTTCAGCTGTGTTCTTACCTGTGGCGAATCCCATGTATGTGAAGAACACCAGTAGATCTATAGGCCCAAAGATAAGACCATCCATTGCAACTTTGGCAGCTACAAAACGTGTTGACTTTGGTACATATCGAAGCTTCAGTTTTATGAATTTATCCAGGCCTTCGTACCTTTGCAACCACAAATAGAATAATATCAGGTTTATCAACGTACCATAGACCATTCTTTATCATTATCTGATTCAGTATCACTTGATTATGTGAGATAACATGAGGACATTGGTTTATCAATTGGTTTTTCTAAATGACATACAAAAGCTATAACTAACGATCTAAGATCAGAAGGAAACAAACCAGAAGTGGCCAACAGGTCCGACAAAACCAAACCCAAACATGCTCGTGATAGCTACTCGCTTCCAGTTGACTTTGAATTCTGCATCTGCGTCAACATCTTTATTTGTTTCCTGTTATATTGAACATGGTTTTAGTGCTAAAGCCGACATATGTCAATAGAATCTCGATATATAGCCAAAACTCAGAAACAATATACCATGATCTCTAATGGCAAATGAATTCGAAAGTGTTGTCTCGCAGCAAAAGATGTCACAAGTCAAAAAAGCATCTCATAATTTCATAGAAGGTAAGCAATAGACTAGAGCTGCTAATCCAGAAAAAAATATAGAACGGCATTAACATGTGTAACCAATGGACCAACAGAGCAAGTTATATTGCAATGTTAACATGCAAGTACCACACTAACAACATAGAGAGTGACAAAACACACAGTCTCTTAAGTATTATTATCACTATAGAAGCTCTCTTCTGAAGTGTTTAAACTTTGAAAAGAAACTAAAGCTGTAGTTGCCCACAGTTCTGGCCTAAGCACTAGAACTTTCTTTGATTGTTGGAAAAAGCCATTAGGCAATCATAGAATCTCAGGAAACAAGTAATAGACGTGTTATACTACAAGAAGTTTCACACAGCCATAGAGCAATGTTCTAAATCGTCAATCTAGAAACGAATTCAGGTGCTATTGCTCAATATACGAATGCCAGATTACAACTCAGGCAACACAACCTAATGTTCCAGTATCTCTCTACCATAAAAGAATACCCCAAGAATCGAGACCATAAGCTTAACAATCACAGAAAACTGTTAACGGAGAAGAAGAACTCAAATCCTTGAAAGATGTATCAGCAAGAAGGTGAGAACAAAGTGGAAATTTAACAAGCACCGAAGAAAAACTCCAGAAATAGCATCAATGTATAAGGAAGAGCTACATAAAACAATACATTGATCAAGCACTAACCGATTCACTGAAATGACCCAAATATACTGATGCACAATCATGAAACCCAGAGATACCTAAGAAACTAAACTAATTTCATCAAATTCGCACCAAAAGAAGAACGAATACATTCAAGAATCGTAGCGAAACCCCAATTTGAAACTTCAATCAGACGAAGAAATCGGTGAGAGAGAGAGGGAGATCGGAAAATGACTTAACGGTGAGACGAAGAAGACGAGGTTTCGCAGTGGAGTGAGTGATGTATTGAGCGGTGACATCGCCAAATCCCCAAAGAAATCCAGAACTAATGACCTGAGTTTTCACTGGATGAACCGTCAGGCATCGCTGGTACCATCTCCAAAGCTTCAACATAATGTACCAGTCGTCTTCGCCGTCGCCGAGAGAGATTGGGACCTGTGACGGAGAACCGCCGTGGAAGAAGGCGATTGTGAAAGAGGTTGACACAGCGCTTAAGCTCTCTTCCTAAACGTCTTCTTCTCTTTTTAATTTTTATCCTTTTTCTTCATTTTTTTTCCCGAGTCAACCACACTCAAAAAAGCTGTTGAGATGTTAATTGGGCTTCGGCCCATCAACATTTTAAACTTTTTTTTTTTTTTTTGATTTTTTGTGTCGAGTGTCGACCACATAGGAAAATTGGGTCAAAGAAAGGATTTTAAAACCCGCAAAATATCCCAATACTAAAAAAAGAAACTTAAATTAAAAAAGATATTTTATTAATTGATTTTATAAAAAGTTAAATTGTGATATTTTTCCTTCTCAAATTCGAGTTTACAATTTTTTTTTGAAATTTAAATTTATATTTATTCACAACGTAAAAATTTATATAAAATCTCAATTTCAATATATAGTTGAGATGCGGTAAATCGGTTTTATTTAAATTATAAAATATGTGATGAAGCTATAGAAATTTATAGGTCTAAGCAGTCTATTTTTTTACTTCAAATTGTTTGAGTTTAGGAAAACGGATCCAAACTATGATCAAAATTCGAATTCGATCACAGAAATTCGGGATCATGTCGGTATTATTAAATTTGATGTATTGTTCCTATTATTACGAAAGAGAGTTTATGATGGTCATGATGATGGATTTAAGGGTTTATTTGATGCGCGTCAATCTGTTTTGATTTCACAAGCGAGGGATTTGGACCGCATTTGCCTGTCCCGTTTGAGTGGTATTTTGAAGGTACTACAAGTCTATCTAGTGTCAAAGAAGAGCAACTTACGGTTTTATTTCAACGTTGGGATACATTAGAGATGGAGATATGGATTACGACGAAGATTGAGCCCAACGCGGTGTCTTGGAACAGCAAGGTGTTCTTCGCCGTGAATATGAGACCACTCACTTGCTTTGACTCTCAGTTTTTGCTTACACGGAGTTTCTTTATTGACGAGGAGAAGAAAGTCGCCGTCTTTTTTGATAAAAACAAAGAAGGCAACATAAACCCCACTCGCAACGTAGCTTACATCGTTGGAGTGGATGGATCCTTGAAAGAAGCCGATCTCGGAGAATCTGGAGACAAACATTTTTATCCACTTGTATGCTCTTATGTTCCAAGTTTAGTTCAACTTAATTAGTCCATTTTACAATAACTATATATTATTTCTTGCATATTTACTTCTTGTTTTCTCTTTTTTTTTGTTTTCATGTTCTTTGAACAAGATTATTAATTAAATTAAAACCATGCATATGAGAAAAATATATCAGAAACAAAACCATGCATATGAAAAGAAAAGAAAAACTAGTAAAACAAAAACAAAAGATTTATATACTATCATCTTTCACAATTCCCAAATTCAGTACATCTTCAACACAAGTAAAAAACCAAAGACATTAACAAAAGAGTAAATAAGGGAGAGCAAAAGAAAAAAAATGAAATAAAGAAATAAGGTATTTTATTGCCAAATTTGAACTACGTGACCAGTTATTAGTAGGCCTGTAAACAGAGCGGATGTCCGGCTTTTTTAAAAATATCTGTATCTGTATCCGTATTATCCGCCAATTTAGTATCCGCATTTGGATTTGAAAATTCTGAATATTCGGTATCCGGATATTCGTTAATAATCCGGATATCCGCGAATATTCGGAAATAGTGTTTATAAAATCCTAAATTTATTAATATCATACATAAAAAGCTTAAAAAATTCATAAAACAGCTAAAAGTTGATTAAACATACAAAACATTACAAAAACAAAAATTTTATTAAAGTAGCAAAAAGTTCAAAAGATTCAAGTGATATTCTTAAACAAAAAAAAAAGACGTTAATCAACTTCTTAAATTCTTCTAAGAATTATTTTTATTTTTTGTCATATGATTTATTTTTTAACATTGAAAATAAAATAAAACCAATTTAAAAAGTTGGGCTTACAAGTTTTTTTGGGCTTTAACACTTGAAGAATGGAGTCATAAGGCCTTCGAGTAACAAATTTTTTTATGGGCCTATACATACCCCGGATATCTGTTATCCAGCCCAAATTTTAGGATTATTCGTATCCGAGTCTGTATCCGAGATATCCGTCATTTTACTATCCGTATCCGTATCCATTTCGCCGGATATCCATGTTTTGGATAAAAAACCGGCTATGGATAAGAATATCTGCGGATAACGGATATAAATCCCAGGTCTACCAGTTAGTATATTACTATATTTTGTGGCCATTAGTAATAAAAGATTGTGTACCGACACCGAACCGAATCCCAAATTTTGTTTTGGTTTGCCACGGTTCTTCGGTTCCGGTTAATATATCCAAGCTTAGCTTGAAACAAGTGCTTCAGGCCCGAGTAGATTCATGGCAAAAGTTTTTGTTCGTTTTAAATGTTTTGGTGTTTTTTTGTAGGGCAATTCTCAAAAATACTACACTTAAGTTTTGGTTTTCCAAAAATACTACATTTAAGTTTTAGTTTTCCAAATATACCAATTAAGTTTTAATTTTCCAAAAACACCATATAACTAAAAAAAAATTTGGCTCTGTTTTTTCGTTGCAGTGAATGCTTGGTTGCCTCCAGAGCTTGATCACAAAGTGGATATCTTACTTTCAGTTGTTGGAAAGTTTGGCTACCCGGTTGAATTTGCAAAGAGCTAGAAAGGGAATAATGACTGTGAAAGGCTTGGAGTACAACCCATAAGCATGATATCACATTTATCTCCAAGAACCTGACATGAACCACCTTTCCACGGTTCGCCGAACTCATCTCTCTCTTGGTGATTGATCTTTCTCACAATCGTCTTAATAGCACTATTCCGTTCGAGCTCACCAAGTTGAATTTGACCAATCTGGATGTTTCCTTTAATCAACTTCATGGGAAAGTGCGACATTGTAAGAGCATAATTGTAGACAGATAAAAGAAATCCAAACATCGAAT